ATGTTGTTGTTGTTGTCATTATGGTCTCCTGGAGACTTCTTGTTTTTACAGTTTGTGTTAGTATCATTACTTAATTGTAATACTATTAATTATTATCCAACTGCACAAAGTAGAGTACACATAACATACAAATAGAGTACAAGTATCCTGCAATATTGTACATTTATTTGAACAGTTGGTTATTTTGTACTGTTAAAAACCTGTTCTACCAGTCGGCTGTGTGCTACCTGTCTCTATTCGCTTTGCTTTTCCTGCCTTATGAGAAATGAACAGAAAGACTTAGCAGGACAAAAAGCACTTGGATAATAAATGTCTTATAGTATTGCTGAGTATTTGTACTCGGTGTTTTTATTTTGACTTGCCTTATGAACTCATCAAAATATGGCACAACTCGTAAAAATACTCAGCAATACTACATACCAAAACATCTAATAAGATGCATTTATTATATACATGTATGATTCTTCTTCTGTCTTTTTTCAGAATGAGGAAGAGCCATTACCACCACAAACTCCTGTGCAAGATCAACCACAACGAGGTTTTATTTTGGTTTTAATTTACTGGCATATAAACCCATTGAATCCTGGAGTTTTCCTCAAATTCATGTGTTAACAACTTATTTGTCTTTTTTGTGGCTGCTTCTAAGCCCAAGTCCACCCAATTCTTGCATTATGAAAACATGCGCAAGTGTTTGTGCACCAGGTGCCCTTCCACTGAGGTCACTTCTCTCCACACACAATGTGTTAAGAGCATGCAATTAACCTTATCTATCCTGTGGAGGTTATTTGGCTACATGTTAGTCTGTACATTGTAATCAAAGAGAAACATTTTTTCCTTGTATTGATTTTCAATTTCCTTTATCTCCTAGCCTGGATTATGGATAGTTATGATTTGGACAGGGAGAAGTTATAGAATCAACACAGGAACTAATGAGATTTGTACTTGTTTTATTCACTACATTTTTCATTCTGTTAAGGAGCTGACAATGATGTCGTCTCACAAGAACCTGGGACCCCAATTTCTTTGCAGCCTGTTGATCTGGTCCGAATTCCAAGCATGCATAAAAGAGGTAAACCATAGGGTGAAATCACTTCTACTCAAACATTTCTGACTCCATCAGTGACAAACAACACCTCATTAATAGATTTCAATTAAATGTGAATGATCGGTTGAAAGGAAAACCAAGGTGTAAAGTAGAACTCTTAGGAACTTAGTAGAAAGGTAATTTCTCTGCAATGGTCACCAGTTTGTATTCAGTTGAAAGGCCTATATTTAACCAGCTCAGTGAGGTTGTTCTTTTGCTTTTGCCAGGTTCATCTTTTAAATGTTGTATTGACTTTTCATAAGATTGTAGCATCACATTGAGGTTGACAGTTTATGTAATTAAAATAAAAATTCCATGATAAGAACCTTCTTTTAATTTCAGGTGTAGACCGAGAGGACAAAAGGAACATGAGAGAAAAACTGAGGAAATTTCTCACTAAACGACCTCCAATAGAGGAGCTGGAAAAGAAAGGAATTATTAAAGGTAAACAAATTTAACATGATGCCGTTAAACACTGCAGAAAAAGGCATTGAGGTCATCGGCATAAAGGAAATGATCACCAACTAAAGAAGCTGTTGACTGTTTAATAAATTCTCCTTGTCAGCACTTAAGGAAATGTATAATGAACAATTTGGAGAATATGTATACTAGTGTTAGGGTGTAAAGTGTTAAGCCTTGTGTGATTTCATTTTCAGAAAGTGTATTTGGCTGCCACATTGCACATCTTTGTGAAAGACAGAAAACATCAGTTCCTGTATTTGTTAGCTCATGCATTGCTGCTATTGAAAAGAGAGGTATGTTTTGCTTAAAGTGATTTGTGACCTCTTTACCTTTTGCATCTTTGACAGAGTTTCTTGAATTTTTGTCAGTTGTTTTTTTTTTTTTTACATCACCACATCTTAGTATGACTGAATGAGTGACTGAAAGCTAATTGATGGTCACTGGTAAGAACAAGTCCAAACATCAGTGAAAGTTTGAAGAGTAAATAAATAGCACTGCATGCTTCTTGAAACGAGTGTTCAATTTGATTAAATGATGTCTGCCTATGTGAGACAATTTGATTGCATGGTAGCCATAGTGATGTCTACCTGATTTTTCCTCCAGGTCTGTCATTTGATGGTCTCTACAGGGTGTGTGGTAATGTCTCCACGGTGCAGAAGCTCAGAATAATGGTTGACCAAGGTTTGTCTGCCTTAAGTTTATACATCCAGGGGCATAGAAAATGAAGGGAGTCCGAGGATTCTCCTGAAACCCTTCCCCCTCCTTCCCATGTATAAGTATATGTTAAGGGTTCTTGAGGGACTTCAAGGTAACATATGAAAATTCTGAAATGGAGATATTACAATTCGAGAATTCCCTAAGCCATATTGTTTCAAGGGTGTCTTTTTTAGAGTATCAGATCTCTCTCAACTTATAATAGGAAAAGATACAAAACCCAACTAAAACCTTTTTTTTTGCCTTAAAGAAGAACAAGCTTATCTTAAATATGGTTTATGCGAAGCTTAAAGGGAGGAATGGTACCCTGCTGTATATTAGTTTTTGTATAAGTTTTTTCAGAAAAAAAAATTGTTCGTGGGTCTTTGATAGAATTTGATTTAGAAATCAAATAATATTAAGGGTGTAATTAAAAGCTGCCATTTACCACAAGAATCTTTGTGTGGATCACTTATACTTCTGGCCATCAGTGTGATGGTGATCAGTTCTCTGAGTCAAAATTTGGAATAGGAACGTCAATGAAGGTTTCTTTCCAAACTGCATGGAAAGAACTTTTGCTTAATTACTCTGTTTTCTTTCCTGCTCCAAGAACATCAGTAATTTTGCTCAATTTAAATTTTTGCCATAGAGGAGAAAGTGGTACTTGGTGAGCCACCTTTCGATGACGTCCACGCCCTCACTGGATCTCTAAAACTTTACTTTAGAGAGCTTCCAGAGCCTCTTATTCCTTATGACTTCTTTAGTGGATTTGTAGAGGCAATAAGTGAGTTTCATCTTGTCTTATTTATTTTTCATATGTTCATCCAAAATATGCTCTTACAATTCAAACATTCAATTTGTATCGTTTTATTCTTTTTTTCCTTCCTTTTTGCTTGTTTTCTATTCTTTCCCCTCAACCCCCTATCAATTGGTTTCGTGATTAAATTGAATACATACATTGCACATATTTTTGTGTATCTTGGTGTAATCCTTGCCGGAAACCTGATTTACCTTAAGAAATGTTAAAAATAATAGTCCAAAAATTATTTTGTGAACTCTCAACAATGACATATTGTTGATAGAAATAGTAGAGATGGTAAGTTTTGAGCTCGATAAAGAATTAAAAGAACGGCGAAAAAAGACGAAGAACATCTTTCTTAATGACATATTAATAATCTTTTTTAATTGGATCTTTCAACAGAGCAAAGCACACGAAAGAGCAAGCTAACTGCTATGAGATCTTTGGCTGTTCAGATGCCGAAGGTCAATGGGGAAACTCTTAAGTTATTGCTGCGACATTTGCGGAAGTAGGTTTTTTTTATTGTTGGCTTAGATGGGAATGTTCTCAGAAATTATTTAGTTGAAATGGGGTAATTTAGTATTATCAACTGATTTGATAATGTCAATTGGCCACGGTGAAAAGTTTCAAAGCTGAGGTTTCGAGCGTTAGCCCTTCGTCAGAGTGAAACTTGCCCCCTTCATTCATTCAGTAAATTTCAGTTTTACTTAAAAGTTAGCACTTAGGATTTATGAGACATTCAAGTTGTTACTGCGAAAGGCTCAAGAGTTAAGCATGTTCACTGTTCAGATGAGAATCTTTACTAGGTTAGAATAGATGTATAGAGTTAACCCTCTGACCCCAAAGAATGACTAAGTTTTACTTAAAAGTTAGCACTTAGGATTTATGAGACATTCAAGTTGTTACTGCGAGAGGCTCAAGAGTTAAGCATGTTCACTGTTCAGATGAGAATCTTCACTAGGTTAGAATAGATTTATAGAGTTAACCCTCTGACCCCAAAGAATGACTAACATCTAGTTTCTCTCTACAATGTCTTCCCTGAATCAAACCTGACAAAACACTGACATACAGTTTACCCGAGAAGTCAAAGAAAATGGGTAACTTCCTTTTGTAGACTGCCTGGTAAGCTGTGACGACAACTCGCTACGAACAACAGTCTACAGGAAATCGCCACATACCGACAGATTACTGAACGAGTCATCCTACAACCTGACATCACACAAAACCACAACTACCAGGACTCTAACACGATGAACGCAACTAGTATGAAACACGACAGACAGCTTATCCGATGAGAACAAATGCTTTGACCATGTTTTTTTCAGTTTACAACCACAATTAGGTCTTTATCTGACTAAACACTCACCAACCTAGCACTGCAACTACCAAAACAAATAACGGTGCACCTCCTACGACTACAACGACTATACCGCTCATAAAGGGTATGAGAACATCTTGCAGAACCTACAATGATTCAGTATGCATGTCGCCCACAAAGCCATCACCACACCACGTCAGTTACTAACAGACGTCAAAGAAAAGAACGAACCGAGGAATAGGCAGGGGCTGTTTATAAGATCAGTTGCTTTGACTGCCAAGCCTCCTGCATCAGAGAGACTGGTGGAAACCTCACAACAAGACTGACTGAACACAAGCGGGCGACGAGGAAAGATGATGTCTACAATCACATTGCTAAATGTCATGAACCACGCTGTTGACTAGGACTCTGCGCAATACGTAACCTACAGCACTAACTGCTTTCAGCGACTGACTCTGGAAAGCTGGTTTACTAACTTAGACCAATCTCCCCTTAACAGATGTAAACTACTACCGGCACCATACAAACGATTCGAGTAGGACTTAAACATTGCATTGATGACCTAACTTTACCGATTGATCGAAACAGACCAATCAGGACCGACCTATGCCACTTGAGTCTTACAGTCTCTCGGCAAAACTGACTAATCAATTCGTGTGAACCAGACTTAGAACATTCGACTGATCACAATCATTCTCTTGACTCTGATGATGACGTCTACTGAGGGTTTTTAATTGTCAGTCACCACTACAGACAACAGTCCTTCTCTGGACTACACTCACCTAGACGATCAGACTACACTTTCACATATTACCCCCAAGTTAAAACCATATACTGAAGCTTTTGATTGGGAAACACCTTCTCTTTGTCAGGGCCTTAGGAAATGTATAGAGAATAGCAGGAGAATATGTATACTGATGTTAGCGTGTACAGTGTTAAGAGTGATTTTTAATGCTCTGCTAATAGTATGGTTCTTAATATTATGTAGAACTTTTTTTGCAAAACTATTTTCAATGTATTAAAACTTTGGATACGTAAAAGGAACAACCATATTGATAAATAACATTCATCAAACTAAATGTTGGCATATAATTCTATGATTTCAGGTTAATGGATCAGAGTGAAGAAAACCGTATGAATGCGCAAAATCTGGCCATTGTTTGGGGCCCAAATCTCATGTGGCCTCGTTATGATTCTGGAGACATAGCAGTAAACATGGTGCATCAAAACCAAATCATAGAATTTCTACTTTTGGAATTTGACCATGTGTTTAAATAGTTGTTAACTTATAACAGCAAAACAAGTATTTTTCAGCAGAATATTGTAGTAGTAGTAGTCGGCATTTAGGTACATACAGCCTATTACATTAGTATGTAGTGCATACTAGTGTGGTATGTCACTACAGCAGGTCAGAGTTATGGCTTTTTAGTATGTGACAAGATGAGTATTTTCTTTTTTTGCAGTTTTAGAAAGAGGAAACAGTTTTATGTACTTATATTGCAAGAGTCATTTTGTTTCCCTTCTTGTGGGGGTGGTTTGGGTACAGTTCTCAGAGTGCTCCATTGTATATAATGTAACTAAAACAACGGCAGTGATCACAATTCTTTTGTGTAAATTGAATTAAATTTTAATGCAATGACTAAATATGTATGATCAGTTGGAGAAAACTGTTCAATAGGCATAGTGAATGATAAAATTGAAATCTTCTATGATTTTTACATGAATGAAATCTAAGAGTGATGGTAAAGGTGTAGCTTAAGAAGGCACCAGTCATAGGCTGTACCAGGTGTCACTTGCCATAGACAGGTATCAAGAGTTGAATGTGAGGATCTTTGGTTGTCCCTTAGGTTACAAGAATCAAAGATTGCAACAACCTGCAACGGTTTGTGGCATCATAATGAATGTTTTGTAGGTGGATGTTTTTAACTGAAAGTATTGAGTAAACATGGATTTCGAATATTGGATCATTATGGTGAAGACTGAGGAGGCCTTTGGCACTGCCTCCTTACTCCAATTGTCCGGAAGATGACGACTAAAACTTTTACTCTTTGCTCTAATGATCCGGGAGAAAAGTAAATGTTTGAAACAGTCTGGAGAGAAACGGTCTTGAAAGAGTGTATGCTGATTGTTCCTCTTTAGAACAATATGTTCACTGAAAAGATCTGTGAAGAAGTAGACAACAATCTTGTTTTGTCTTTGAAATAGATATAGTCCTGATCCCAATTAGATTTAGTACTTTAGTCTTATTCTATTGTACACAAGTTTTTATTGTTACCATCTCTTAACATGAGAGTTGACAAAGTGGTCTGATATAACATATTGTCAAAAATGCAGAGATGATTCATCTAGTTGCTAACTGGGTGTAGGAGTAATTGCTGTGGGTTGTAATGAGAGATTTATAGTTGATAGAGGTCAATGAATTAATGTCATCTTAGCGCTAAGAGTCAGCCATTATTTGAATGGATTTCATAAATGATAAAAATTCTTAAGTGTTAAAGTTTGAGAGGATTTCACATCCACATATGCAAGACATGATTTTTCGTGTAGGTTTAGTAAGCGTACTCATGCCTTAAAATAGGAAATGTTTTGGATAAGTCATCCAAAATGTGCAAATGCTACTGTACAACTTTTTGTCTATGGGGTGATATTTATGCATGCACTAAGATAATTTACTCGGAGAGAATCTTTCTACATTTTGTCAAGTAAAAGTTACTTGGGCAAAATCCCTTTTTTTTCAGAGTTTAAAGGCTTGGCCGCCAAGCTTCCGTGAACAAACGTTAGTATCACTGGGTGACCATATTCTCCTGAAATGGGTCTGCAATGCGTGCTTGTGCACTGTCACTTGTTATCTTTAGTGTTTGTGCAGATAACATACCATATGAAAGTTTCTTTTGTATATTAAGAGTGGTTAGTCCTTTGATATAATTCATCTGACACATAGAACTTTCGTTTAGGAAAATACATTTTTAGAAAAAAAGTGTTGCGAGTGAGGCTGAAAGGTATTGTTGGTGTATTTGTTAACTTTGTAGTATTACGAGGCAATGTGCAAAGTCACTGTGGACCTATTTTTGGACTTCTGTTTAATTACAATGCCTAAGCACTACTCACGACATTCATAGCTGTTCAGACTTTGTAATAACAAAGATATATTTTTGCATGTACGATGTCAACAGCAGCAGCTTAAACATTCAATTTACTACCATCAAAGAACGTTTAGTGAAATAAATTTAGGATGAGGTATTTGTTATGATGATTCTTGGGGTATGATTTAATTTTGTTGCAAAAGCGAGCGATTGAAGAACGACCGAGGAAAGATTGAGTTGGAAAAGGCAAACGAACATCAGCGAGGTCACCTAGAGCACGCTCTTCGTGAGTTGTGAAGGAAGGCTGTGTTTGCTGATTTCTTGTAAAAGGTGACAAGATCCCCAGTATTTGAATGTCTACCTATATAGAAGACAGTAGGCAAGGGCCTTTCTAATATCAGCTCGGTCAACCCTGGACGCCGCCAAGAGCCGTGAAATCACCAAAAATGCGCTTTCTTAGTCACTCGTACCTATATTTCACACGGAGAGTGAACTAAGAAGAACGCCATATAAACAGGATGTATACATTGTTCACTTCAATCACCGCCCTCCAATCAATCATCAGACCATAAATTCCTTTCACAGAAGAAACCAGCCATTGTTGTGAATGTCCTACGAGGTTTTAAGGCTTTAACCAGTCGTTTCTTACTTACGAACATTTCGTACCCAGTCGATTTGTGCCCAGCCCGAGGACCGTTCGTATCCAGTCAGTTTAGTAGTTTTTTCTCAACGGACGTTTGGTACCCAGCTGGGACCATTCATACCCAGTTAATTTTGCCGTGTTGTACCCATGGGCCACTAACGTTTGGTACTCAGATAAGGCCACTCGTACCCAGTCAGTTTGGCCGTTTTTTACCCATACTAATAAGGTGTGTTATCAAACGAGAGCAAGACTCCTGACGAGGGCGACATTAGTTGGTAATTTAACCGATAAACTCATGGCCCTCATACTTGTTCCTTACTTGCTTGACTCTTTAGTAACTTTTCGTATACAACGATGGACATTTTGTTCACGCGCTCGTGGGTAAGGTACTTTGCGAGTTCAACGTTTTGATCGTCACTGAATGTTGGGACTGATACAAAACGACCAGTGATAGATCGGGTATCAACCAGCACGCGAACTGGTCACGAATCGTCTAAATTGGGGAACGAAACGTCTTTTAGAACGAAACGAGTGAAGGTCTTGAGGGAAAGAAAGTGTATTACTGGTAATCCCGTATTTGAATCACAAAGTTCAGCATTCACACAACATATAATAAAACTTTACTGTCCATTACGTTATAAGAAATGGAAACCTAATTTTTTTTAGATATTTACATGCTTCAAGTGTGTTACTCGAAAGGGTAAGAACATGCTGGAGGTCATTCTACTTTTATTTAATACTTAGTTAACTGGCTTGAGTCCCTGAAACATCGGTTCAAGTTTTCTTCACTAAAAATAGCCTCTTTTTCGAAATCAAAGTCCAACGACCTTGTAGAAAATTGGAAATATCAGCATAAGATTCTCTGGTCTAAGGGAACAAATTAGAAAAGAAAACATCTTGTACTCTTGGATCCAAGGTGATGACACCATGTTCAAAAAAAAAAAATTCTTATTAAGATTGACATTGACCAATTCTTTCAAGCAGTTTATCGGGGTAACCAGGAGAGTAGAATCTGAAACGAAAAACCAAAAACAGTGTAAAGTGACAACACATGACAACATACATCACATATTTAACAGCTTCTAAATAAAAAAACGAGAATGATAGGGCAACGAACAGACACGCCAAAGTTTGGCCAAAAATGTGACCAAACCTCTCGCTGCGTTTGTTCTTATGTCCTGTTTTAAAGCGTCAAGAATTTTAAAGAGACTTCATGCTACGCTACACGATTCGGCTAGTTACACTACGAAGTAAAATTAGGAGGAGATAAGTTTTTCCTTGAGAGCAATTCTCAATTTTCGAAAGTAATCTGGGATTGCTTTGGTTTCGCTTTACTTTGCTCTGTGATTGGTCCAGAAAACTCGCGCTACTTTCTCATCCAACCAGATGCAAAACTAAATCCAAACAAGACTTGGTAGCCAGCGCGTTTTCCCGCGCCTTAGGCAGTTTGCCTGTTTTCACTTTGAGTTCTCATTGGTTTCCAAAGGTACTTTCCTTTCTTCTAATTAGTCGTTGCGATTTCATTGGTTTTGGATTTACGGCACTTAATCAAAAACTGCTCTAATGGAAGGACAAGAGTTGCCCTTAAGCAACTTAAAAGCGATATGTACAAAACAATCTGGTGTTTTGCTCACTTGACGATTTCCTCAGGATAACAGTTGTTGATGGTATTGATGTGTTCACTGAGAGCTGTGTTCCCCTCTGCATTGATCTCTTGGATTTTTCTCAAACTTCCACTCGTCACAAACAGCCGACGCGCCGCCACATCGTGCGGGAGAACTTTAGCAAACTGACTTACGACGTGCTTCAAGATGTTTGGCGGTGCGTCTTTCAGCAGAGGTTCTAGCGCTGGCAGATGGACACACTTCTGTAGGATGTTGGTCAGTGCTTTCTTGGACTAGAGTGTAGGAAAAGAAAAGACATCATTCAGAAACGGCGCAAAGAATAAACGGAACAAGTATATTAATTGTAAATTAACAAAATAAAGTGGTAACATGTATCCTGCCGCGGTTTTGCATGTGCTTTGAGGCGTCAATCAGCGGATTGGCGTCGAAGAAGAGCGGCGAAGCCGCGAGGGGTATGTAATAGGACGCTTTCGCAAATCTGCCGCTAAGTAAAAGGAATGCGCCTTAAAACCGTCTGCTGCGCAGGCTTGCTGTAGCTGACAATGACTGCAGGTGCTCCTGACTACAGCTCGTACTGGAAACGCCGTTACGCTGATAGTCTCTTCTGATTTCTTCCCTCCTTACATAATTTTCCAGTGTTAATTTGGTATGGGACGTGGCGACAGACAGTCGAAAGGGAGCTGAGGGGGCGGGGGCTGAGAACCTGAGGTGAAGCAGAAATAGCAGCCCGGAGAGTGAGAGGGAGCAACCCTAATCACCGCGAAGAGAGGAAGGAAAAAATCATGATTATGAAGTTGGTACAGGTGCAATGACTACTGTAATAGATTTCTAAAGCCTGTTTTTCAGAAAGAGTTTACCCAATGTCAAAGTTACAAGGAAGCTTTCACTCTTTACTAGCAAAAGTTTAATTTCCTTGTGAGATTATTCGCCAGTAGCTGTAAAGCGCAAATTAAAGCTCGCCCTAAATCATTTAACATCAATTCCAAGGAAATACGCACTAATATCTTGACTATATCAAGCCTATTTTAACCCCTTCATTGCCAGGAGTGACCAGCGTAAAGATCATCCCTCCCATTTCCATACAATGTGTCGTGGGCAAGTTAGGAGAATTTTCATCTAAAGAATATTGTTTTGACATAACGCCGCATTCTGAAAAACGACCAAAAAAGGTTTCTATGATCACTGGGTTGGTAAAGAACGAGAAGGATTGCCAAGCAAGGCATCCCTGTTACCAAAACGAGACGGAACAAGAAGACGCCATAAATATCGCTCTTTACCAGCGCCTGAACAAAACGGAAGCTCCCTTCACAATGCTAGCCACTGCAGATCATTACCTTAGCTTGCAGGTCCTCTGAGCTAGAAGAGTCCTGGTAACAATCCAACAGGGACTTCAAGACATTAGTGACTGCCACTGCCTTAGCGTGTTCTGGTGTATGTCTTCCAATCTGACCCAGGGCCCATGCTGTAGCAGCCTATTGTGAAACGAAATTAAGGGGTTTGGTTTGAAGAAACTTTGTTCATTCAGCAAAAATGGTCAAGTTACTGGGGGAAACAATATGTGTGAGATAAAGTAGATTAATGATCGAGGAGTTCTGGCTAGGTATTGTGGCCATGTGTTGTGTTCCCAAGCAAGGCAGGTATGAGAAAGGTACGAGAAATATAATTAAACCTAAAATACTTTCCTTTTACACTTCAAAAACTCACTAGAAAACTTTTTAAAACATCCCTTACCTGTATGTGATCTTCTTCATTCCTTCCTAGTTCGGTGGATCGCTACATTTGTAAGAGAAAGAGACTTCATAACCACACATGTACAATGTACGATAGCGTCAACCACAGCAGGGTCTATCAGCTGATTACCCCTTTAACCCCTAAGAATGATTAGCATCTAATTTCTCCTTACACTATCACCCCTAACTCAAATATTAAGGTCATGAGAATAATTGGAAATGATCACCAACTAGAAAAGTTCTTGATTGTGAAACAAATTCTCCGTATCTGCACCTTAGCAAATGTAGAGAGAGCAGTATGGAGAATATGCATACTGATCATGAAGTTTGGGTGTGAAGGGTTGATTTGACTGTATGTTTCTTAAATCTGACATTTTCACCGGGTATAAACAGGAAAACATTAGAAATCAAGCAGGTTATAGTTCACATAAATTTTTTTTCTGGATTAGAAACACTGAGCTCTCTTAATCTCTTTTCCATTGTAGAAAAATACATTAGGAATTTGTAAGTATCAATCAGTACCACATTTATAATACATGAAGCTCAAAATACCTGCTGCATGATGTGATTATGCTCACTTCTAGAGAGAATGCCAGCTAACACAGTCACTCCCTGCAA